TTTATCAACTCAACGACCTGCAAGCCCAGGGAGGACCCGAGGGTGGGGGTGGGGGGTAAAGGGGGGTTCGTGGGTGCGGATCGGATAAGGGTTTTAGGTTTTCAGGTTTTTCTTAGCGTTTTTTAGTCAACATATCAAGATACATCCCCCCCCTCTCTCCCCCCCTCCGACCCCCTCACCTTATCCGCTGCGCCCACTGCCGCCGTCAGTGCTGAGAAAACGTCGCCCATCAGCTGAAAGGCCGAAGTGAGCGACTGCTGGTACAACATGAACGACACCAGAGCTCCCCGGCTCATCTGGTTGACGGTGTACGGGGGGAAGTAGAGGGGGGAAGGGTGGGGGGCACGGGAGGGGGAAGGGTGGGCAAGGAAGGGCCTCCGGGTACGGAAACACACACACACACACACACACACACACACACACACACAGGGGTATGGACGAGGTAGGTGGCGCTGACATTACGTACGCATACACGCATGCTACACTCTCTCTCGACACACACACCATACATGGCCATATTCATACAAGCATCATACATAACAGCCCGTCCAAGTCTCAAATACACACACACACACCGGCTCCGCCTTCCCCCCTCCTACTCCCCCCCTCCCCAAACCCACCACGCCCTCCAGCACCAGGTTCCCCCCGTAGAACAGCACCACCGCAGTGACCACATTGGGCAGAAAGGTGTTGAGCATGGCGTACAGGGTGTAGGCCGCCGCCTCCAGGAGCTGAGGGGGGTGTTGAGAGAGGGGGGGCAGGGTGGGGGGAGGGAGGGAGGGAAAGACGAACCACGAACGAGTGAAGGGAGGGATGGTCGGGAGGGGTGGATATATCCGACATAGACAGCAACCGGGTGTGAAGGAAGTGAAGTGGGGTGTAATGGCGCCTTTCCGGACCTCACGTGGCTTCAGGTCGAGAGGCAGCGGGCGGGTGAGGGGTCGAGGGGTGTGTGTGAGGGGGTGTGGGGGTGTGACCGGGGTGGGTCGGGGTGGTGGTGTGAGGGGAGAGGCGTCTCGCACTCCCGCACTCCCCGAACCCCTCCTCCCAGTGCCACCAAGGACTACTCCCCTTACAAACCCCTCAACAGATAGACAGACGGACAGACAGACCACCACGTATTATCAT